TGGAAGTGCTTAGGCGTTCGACAGCCAGCAAAGCTGTCCTCAGAGACCTTCCCACCCTTGTCTTCAGCTCTGAAAACAGAGAAAAGAGGCCCAGATGCATTACTCGAGTGATAACAATGGACCTGTTCATGCAAACATAACAACAGCTTTTTGGTAAACAATCTCACAACTCCCCTGCTGTGTCAAGGGGATGTGTGTAGTAATCTTCTGACAAACAAATCCAGATCAAGCTGCTAGCTTTCTTCCATTTCCTGTTTCATGATAAATCAGGACACTGGCCCTTTCTCACACAAATGCAGCCTTCCTTAAGCAGTTTCATATTGTTGATCAGACATTCACTGAATGAATTGTTCACACTTTGATTGTTACACACAATCAAAAGCCGGGTTTTCTATCTGAATGATAATTTCTGGGAAATCCATTTTAATGGAAAGTTACTGAGGCAGCAAATACGGAGCCTTTATCATTATTTTCGAAAAAGACAACTACAAATTTCATTTAGATAATGCAAATCTTTAAAATAGTAGATGACCTTTTTAACCAGCTACCTTGGCTGCTTGAACAATTCCACTATCTATATACCTTCCTGTTTATGCATCACTATTGTTTATCACTTTAATAATACTAATTATGACATGTTTAATTATTCCAATGATATATTTGGAGCTTTATTTATTCATTTTTTTTCCTTTTTGTTTTGCTATTTTGATATATATTGAGAAATGTGTATCAGTTCCTTCTAACAAACTGATTTTTAACAAAACATCTTCCAACATTTTATTCCTCCAAAAATAAAAACTCTGAGAACCTTTTAACTTTGAGTGGTAATGTATCAGATGATGTCTGTAGTCATTTTACAAACAAATCCCTGAGCATTTGGTTTTTTAAATTGTATTTCTGCATGGCAAATCACCAGCAGAGCTGGAAACCATGCACAGGATATAGCCAGCTGTCCATGTAGCAAATGAAATAGCTAAAGATGAAAGCATGGTGCTCAGTGGATAATTTGTTTTCACTGTAATGTTTAATTACAGTCTTTCCTACAAAGGCATTTCCTCCAATATGTAATCACAGGGATATTTGAAGCTAATTAAGCAGATGCACTGCCATTTTCACTTTAATAAAAGTCACTGACAAAAGCAATGAAACCAAAGGGAGTTGTTCTGGATGGAAATTAAGTTCCTATGGAAAACTAAACATTTATGTGTCCAGCAAGTTATACTTCCTATAATTCCTGTTATACACATCTACCTATTAACTGCAAATGCTTCTTCTGCCCACTCAGCTGTCTGACAGGAAATGAACCAGGGACTGAGTTCCTACAGAAAGGTTCTCCAGCATTTGCTGAATTTGTGAAATAGGTGCTCTTGAAAACTCTGATCAGTTAAACAAAAAACATTTCTCTATTTTTAAATAAGAGAAAAGAAACCTCCTCACAATGAATTCACCTACTTCAATGCATAATTATGATTTCTTAGTCTGAATTGAATTGTATTTTAACACTTTACTGCTGTTTTTTTGTTATCTTTTCAATTTTCCAATGCTGGAAGTTTAAGTTAGAGGAATTTTTCTTTTGTTTGTTTGGTGTGATGGAAGTTAACTATAATCTATCATCAATGAAAGATATTTCTGTAAAAAATATACGCCTCAGAGGTTTGAATAAGTTCCTATAGAGCTCAGTGTCCCCTGAATCAAATATTAGGGATGTTCTTAAGTTTCTAGACCTAATTGCTTGACTACAGAAAAAAAATAGCGCCTAACGTTGGTTTGGTATGGATATATACTTGAGAATCCTCTTATGAATCCTCAGTTACATCTATGACTTTCTAAGAAGGGAAGGAAATAATTAATACTGAAGAAACACTTTAATTCTTCACCATAGATGTCTTCTCATCTTACCTTTTGTGACCTTCTTCTGGTCTGTTTCTAGATTCTAACTTTTCCCTCTGATAAGCAGTGTTCATCTCATTGCGGAGCCGGTCATTTTCCCGAGCAATGTCAGAAGCATTTTGAATGACCAAGGCATCATATGTTTTCAATCCCATATCCTCTGCGTTCTGCAAGAAGCTTTTGACTGAGGTGACCTCTTGCTGTTTGATGCTCATCTTCTGTAGCAAGTGCTGGCGAGCTAGAAATCCTCTTATAACTACCATAACAGACCAAAGAAAGACAACTAATTAATTAGTGAAGAGCTTAATATTACTGTCTGTTCTGATGTACACATGAGCAAATTAGCTCAGTTAATGTCCTACATGAAGAATGAAAAGATGTGATGGCTTATGAATAACATACTAAAATGGAACTCTGTGTTCTGCTGTCAGTGTTTAAAGCAAAACGATAGTAAATTAATTCATAAATCTGAGCTATCACAACTCAAAATGTTTCCTTTCATTGATCCTTATTTTTTTATTACATTATAACTGGAAACTTGGATGAATGCTACAGATTTTGAAAGCATACATTTTTACTGCAAAGGTCAAAAGATCATTGTTTCAAAAGAAAACCCCGAATAAATGATTGTTGCATTAAATGCAGAAAGAAATAAATTATCTTTTGCTTTTGGTCACCTTAAAAAAAAGCTTAAAAACTTCTGTGTAGCTAAAAAGAAATCAAAACAGACACAAGATTTTTAAATTACACTTAAAGACCTTTTGTTGCTCATTTCTTTTCAGCAAAAAACCAATTAGGTTAAATTAATGCAAATTTCTCAAATGTATCTGTCACATCATGTCTGCATTTTTCAGTTTAAAATTTTCATCCACATTGCATCAGATTTATCTATCTACTAGGCCTGTCTTTCACAACCTTTGTCAGTCTTATGTTGGGAGATTTTGGTGTATCTCCTATAATAGCTTTCTGCACTACTTCCCTAAGTACGTACATTCATTGCAACAAATTTTACCTAAATGCTACCTAGTCCCCCGAATTTTCAGAGGTACCCAGCCGTTCAGAATCACAAATCACAGGACCTCTCTAAATAGAATAACGGAATACTAGAGTAATAAAATCATAGCATCATTTTGGCAGGAAAAGACCCTTAAGATCCAACTAGCACAATGCCAAGTCCACCACTAAACCGTGTCCTAAGCACCACATCTACAAGTCTTTTAATACCTCCAGGGATGGTGACTTTACCCCTTCCCCAGGCAGCCTCTTCCAGTGCCTGATAACCCTTTTAGTGAATATTTTTTTTCCTAATATCTCATATAAACAACACCTAGCACAACTTAAGTCTATTTCTTCTTGTTCTATCACTTGTTACTTGGACAAGAGATGAACCCCCACCTTGCTTGCAACCTCCTTCTAGGGTGTTGTACAGGGTGGTAAGGTTCCCCTCAGCCCCCTCTTCTCCAGACAAAGGAACCCTAGTTCCTTCAGCTACTTCTTATACGACTTCATCTCTGGACTCTTCACCAGCATTGCTGCTCTTCTTTGGACATGATTCAGCACCTCAATGTCCTTCTTGTAGTGAGGGGCCCGAAAGTGAACAAAGTATTTGAGGTGCGGCCCCACCAGTGCCAAGCACAGGGGTACGATAACTTCCCTGCTCCTGCTGGCCACACTCTTTTCCAGGATGCTGTTGGCCTTATTGGCCACCTGGGCACACTTCTGGCTCTTGTTCAGCTGCCTGTTGACCAGAGGCCCTAGATCTTTCCTAGTGGCTTTTCAGCCACATTGCCCCAAGTCTGTAGTGCTGCTGGGGGTTGTTGAATCTCTTACAATTGGCCTCAGCCCATCGATCCAGCCTGTCCAGATCCCTCTGTAGTGCCTTTCTACCCTCAAGCATATAAACACTCCCCGCTAACATGTCATCTGCCCACTTACTGTGAGCGAACTCAATCAATCTCTTCATCCAGATCATTAATAAAGATATTAAACAGAACTGTCCCCAGCATTGAACCCTGGGGAACACTGCTTGTGACTGACTACCAGATGGATTTAATTCTATTCAACACAACTCTTTGGGCCTGGACATGCAGCCAGGTTTTTATCAAGTGAAGTGTACACCTCTCCAAGCCATAAGCAACCACGATGAATCCGGCACTAAATTAATCGCTCTACCTGCAACAGGGTGGCATTAGTATCTTTTGAGTTATTGTTTTAACTTAGAAGAAAGAGATAGGCTAACTAAAGGTACTTAATCTGTGGGTTTGTTGTGCTTTTTGCTGTTTTGTTTTTGTCGTTGGGTTTTGTTTGTTTGTTTGTTTGGTTGGTTGTTTTTTTGTGTTGTATTTTTTTGTCAAATCAATCAAATGTCTTCTTTGCTTATTATGGTTACTCTCACAGTCACTGAAAGTTTTCCATAAGTGAAGTCGGCAGGCAACAGGCTGTATAAGACATTGGTTTGAGTTGGGGGGAAAATACTGAAAATTTTTATACTAAGACTGAAAGGTAAAATAAATACTAAAATGCATTAAGCCTTTTTAACAATGTAACTAAGTTTCAGCCTTAGGAACAATGCAGAACAGCATAAAATGACAGAGTAAAGCTGAATTCATATAAAGAAAAATGTAAACAGAGAATGACACAATTAGTAATTTATGAATGTAAACTGTTATTGAATAAAATATAAAGCTAAAAGAGAGGCTATGTTAAGTATTTTTTACCACATCTATTTCCTTGTTTAGGTATGTATAATAAGATTTTTTTAGAGATGCATAGTGACCATCTGATGCTCCTGTCCAAAATTCACTGGGTTTGGAAACATTTAAAATCAGGTACTTTTAGAGCATTTATAACAACTTAGAAGGTTTACTTTTTTATAATCACCACCAGCCATTCCATTTTCAATCTCTTTAGTTACACTTTATAAAATTGGACTTCTTTAAACCCTGAAAGATTAATACATTTACCCAGTTTAGTTGAAAAGGAAATTCATTGTACAGTTATTTGTTGAAAATTTTATGAGAGGATTCACATTGGATATACATGTTACTGAGTCTGAATTAATAATGTTGCTGTTGCAAAGGTAATGAATACATTCATAGAACACACATATGAAAAATTCAAAAGAGCTTAGTAATAAAAAATTGTTCCCCCACTTCCAGTATTTTCTTTAAACTTACCTGCTGTAGCACAGATAGGGTATTTGACAAATGGTTAAGCATCAAATCCTGGATGACTTTGGAAAAATGCTTTGGAAAAACAACATTTTTACAAGTGTGTGTGTATGTGTGTATTTTTATCTCAACAACAGAAAAAAAAGGTTGGTAACACCAGTAAGGTTGGTTAGAAATTGAAATACCAGGATCAGTCCTCAGGTAGGATTGTTATCAGGCATGAATGATGCAGAGCCTGCTAAAATTGTCCAGTACAATGACATCCAGTACAGCTAGCTGAACCATTTAGACTTCACAGCTGCTCTGAATTATGCACTTTCACCAAAATTGAGAAGTTTTTAAGAAACAGACAACAAAGTTTTGTCAGGAAGCGTTGGCACCCCTTTTTTCTTTTGCACACATTTGGATGAACTGAGTAGCTCAGGTTTTCATTAGAAGATGGACATTTCACCATATTTCCTTCTCTATGAGAGCATTGGAAAGATATTTGTCTTCAGTTGAACACAGAACAAAAAATAAATTTCTAACCTCAAAAAACGATGTGAAATGAAATTGTCATCTCCTAGATCTTTACTGGTCAGTTCCATCTACTGCTAGGTAAGATTGTCTTATGAACCTGTTCCTCATTTATGTAAATCTAAACTAACTCTCAGTTCTGCAAATTAAAATAATTGAGGTTAGCACGCACAAGGTGGAAGAGTATCTACTTCTTTACAGTTCAGCTAAGGATAAAGATGAGGATAATCGAAATTCAAGCAGACCGTGTTTCTGGGATATGTGACAAAATGTGTTAACTATTGTGTGTACAGTGTTAAAGTCAATTCCTAATCTACATCAATTCTAATGGAAGAACTGCACCATGATGGACTATTCTACAGATACAAACAGTTTTCTCATAGATTCAATAAGGTCAAAACTTTCCATAAGTAGTTCTTATACCTGTTAAAAAAAAAAAAAAAAGAAAAATTACAGAGTCCTTAAACTAACATCTGTTTTTTTAAATAAAGTGTTTCTGTACATCCTTTCATTTTACTTTTGACACGTTTCTCTGTCTGCATAAGTTAACTTTCAGGATAATAGAAAAAGAGTTATGTGACTTGCTTTGTTTTGTTTTTCTCCAAATCATGGGACATGAAGGCTAACAAGAAAAACTTTTGCAGGTATGTCAGTGATATAATGAAGACTAGGGAAAACGTGGGTCTTCTCCAGAAGGAAGCAGGAGACCTGGTCACTTGGGATATGGAGAAAGCGGAGGTACTCCATTTCTTCTTTTTGCCTCAGTTTGCACCACCCAAGTTGAAGAAGGCAAAGGCAGGGACTGGGAGAAAGACAATAAAGACAATCCCCCCACTGTAGAAGAAGAGCAAGTTCAAGACCATGTAAAGAACCATGGGACCTGACAAATTCCATCTGTGGCTCCTGAGGGAACTGGCTAATGAAGTTGCAAAGCTGCTTTCCATCATATGTGAGAAGTCATGGCAATCTGGTGATGTTCCCGCTGACTAGAAAAGAGGAAACATAATTCCCATTTTCAAAAAGAGAAAAAAGGAAGACCCAGGGAACTACAGGCCAGTCAGTCTCACCTCTGTTCCTGGCAAGATCATGGAGCAGATCCTCCTGAAGGCTCTGCAAAAGTACACGGAAAATGTGGAAGTGGATGTTAGCAACTAACATGGCTTCACCAAGGGCAAATTGTGCCTGAAAAATGTAATGGCCTTTTATGATGGGCTCACAATGTTGTGGACAAGAGGAGAACAACTGACATCATCTACCTGGATTTGTGAAAAGGGTTCAACACTGTCTTGCACAACATCCTGGTGTCAAAACTGGAAAGATATGGATTCAATAGACGAACCACTCAATGTATAAGGAATTGGCTAGATACCAAAAAGTTGTGGTCAACACCTGTGGTGTTCCTCAGGGATGGAAGTTGGGACCAGCACTGTTTAATATCTTTGTCAGCGATGTCCCCATGGGGACAGTGGAATTGAATTCTGCTTCAGCAAGTTTGCTGACAACACCAAACTGTGCAGTGAGGTCGACATGCTGGAGGGAAAGGGTGCCATCCAGAGAGATCTGCACGAGATCGAGAGGTGGACCCCTCATTAATAAAGCCAAGTGCAAGATCCAGCACCTGGGTCTGGACAATCCCAAGCACAAATACAGATTGGGTAGAGAACGGGTAGCGAATAGTCCTGAGGAAAAGGACTTGGGGATGCTGATTGATGAGAAGCTCAACATGAGTCAGCAATGTGTGTGTGTAGCGCAGAAAGCCAAACAACTCCTGGGCTGTATCAAAAGCAGCATGGCCAGCAGATCGAGGGAGGTGATTCTCCCCCTCTGTTCCACTCTTGTGGGACCCCACCTGGAGTACTGTGTTCTGTTCTAGAGCACCCGACAAAAGAAGGACATAGAGCTATTGGAGTGAGTCCAGAGGAGGGCCACAAAGATGTTCAGAGGGCTGCAGCACCCCTCCTATGAAGACAGGGTGAGAGAGTTGGGGTTGTTCACCCTGAAGAAAAGGCTCCACAGAGACCTTATAGCAGTCCTCCAGCACCTGAAGACGCCCACAGGAAAGCTGGGGAGGGACTTTTTACAAGTGTAGTGATGTAGTGATAGGACAAGGAACAAAGGTTTTAAACTGGAGAAGGGTAGATTCAGGAAAGACATTAAGTAGAAGTTCTTCACCATGAGGGTAGTAAGACACTGGAATATGTTGCCCAGGGAAGTTGTGGAAGCCCCCTCCCCAGAAGTGTTCAAGGCCAGGCTGGATGGGGCTTTGATCAACCTGGTCTAAGTGGGAGGTGTGCCTGTCCATGCAGGGCGGATCGTACTAGATGATCTTTAAGGTCCCTTCCAACCTAAACCACTCTATGATTCTATGATTCTAGGCTAACTCTGCAAGTTAATAATTGTACCTGTTTGCAAAGGGCAACGTATTTCATGAGCAACATAGTCACCTGGATGTCTGGCTACTCCTTATTCATCAAGTTCTTGATTTTCTCAGGTTTCCCAGACCATAAAAAAACATGTAGATGAATGACAGCTTTGATAAAACACACAGTTTTGGTGAAAATTACTTTTCAAGTCAGCCTAATTAAGGAGGGCTAGAACCAAAACCAAAAAAAACCATTTTTGTAAGGAGCCAAGAAGTCCTATTATCTTAATTCTTCAGGCACGGTTTGGCAGATTTCTTCTCTCTTACCTCTGCAAAATATGGACACAACTGAGGGTGTTTTACGTTTTGGTGTAGGGTTATATTAAAGCACTCTGCTTGCAAAGTGGACCCTGAAATGTAAATATTTCCCTTCTATGATAATTCAGCATGAGAAGGGAAAAAGAATGAATCACTGTTGCTTTTCGAAAGATGTGAACACAACAGGAGGATTTACACAAAAAATCAGGCACAAGTTATCCACTCAGGTGAACTGTGGCCTGTGTGAACTGTCACTCTTCACATTCATTCCTGAACAGACATTATTTTGATTTTACTTGCTTCAAGTTTTCTTTTGGCTTCCTCTTTTTCACTATATCTTTTACATTGAAGATCAGGTAGTTAAAATCAAAGAGGTTTATATATTCTCAACTCTGCAATATTACGTATTAACTAAAAAAAAACAAAACAAGATAAATCTTTGTCTTTCAAATTTTCTTCGAAAAGGTGATAATGGGAATTGCTGCAGACAACAGCCAATTAGATAAATAATGTATTGTGTGAAGGAAGGTTCTTTAAACAAAGCAATATTCACATTTTCAACAGTTATCTGAGATTTTGATAGGAAATGGAACAGAAGTAAGAGGAAATCAGGAGGCAGTGGATAATACCTCCTTTTAAAAATGTGCCAAAAATTGTCAGTGTGACCTTAGTAAAAATGCAGGCATGAAGGCGAAAAAAATGCCAACCATTAAAACCAACCCCTATCAAACATGAAAGCTGTAAGAAAAGAACAATTAAACATATTACATTGTTAGCTTTATATTCACTGCCAATATATTTGAACACATAGCAATTTGTATCATCATTACTCTATTTGATTTGCAACAAGAAGTTACAGGTGCTATTAATGCCTTGAAAGATCACTGAACCTACTTAAAAACGGAAATATTCAGGTTCCCCCAAGTTTTAATTACAGCCAACAGTTTGCCATAAAATTATGTCTGACAGATAGAAGTACAAGTATTACCAATGTCAGGATCATCTCAAAAAATACGTCTAAGTTGTTACCTGGAAATATATCTGCAACCATTCAAGGAGAAGAAATTTTTTTGTTATGCTCATTGTACAAAGTGACAGGTCAGGAGTACTTTTCTGTAATTGTTACCTTTTTGGCAGGTTATAATTTTCTTCTGAAGCTGAAGGCACAAATCGTTGAGATGGTCAGCTTGCCAGTACTTAAGAAACACTTTTCGGACTCCTATCTAGAATACAAACAGCAGGGAAACCTTCACCATTAACTAAAAGGCCGAAATGGTGACAAACAAATAATGACAATACATATAAAATCCAGCTAAGGGTTGAGATGAGATCTGCAATTTAAGAAAAGTACAACAGCAATAGTTGTACAGAGAGATTGTATCACTTTGTTGAATAAAAGATGTATCTGGAAAGGATGAGTAAACTGTTAAGAGACCCAGCACTCCTTCAGTTCCAAAAACATCTAGAAAAGGTACTACAAACTTCAAGTTAAATACAAGCTGGAAAAAAACCCACAACATTATAAACATAATAATGCTAATTTGTTAGACAATGTAATAGAAAATAAGGTTTAGCTTTTATAAAACACGGACATGTGGGCAAGAAGACAGGCAACCGAGGTGGAGCAGAAAATGGTGACAGCTTTCATCTGTGGAACAAGAAGAATTTAGCTCAAGTTGGAAGGTGGGATAAACTCACTGCTCTTGGTGAGAATGATTCCTAATGTCCAGTAAAACAATGAATTCTAGTTCCCAGGCTTGCCTGATGAAGTTGTGCTGCAGTCTCCTTTTAGAATCAAGAGAAGCCAGAGACAGAGATTTATTTGTGAATAATAATATCCTAAGTATTGATTGAGTGTATGAGCTTATTCTGGTGATGAGTGGTTGCTTAGTTTAACTGATCTAGTTCTTGAAGGTCTTAATAACAATCACTAGATGGTCTTCCCCTTTACAGAAAAAAATAGCAAGTTGGATCAAAAGAAAAGGCTTTCCATTTGATGCCTTCTGAACATGCTGAAACAATCCTTAAAAATTCTTTTCTGTATAATCTTCAAAAGTATTCCTTTCTAATACCTTTAAAAAAAACCCCAAAGCACACATAACCTAGCTACCCTAAAAAGAGTAAGTAGCTAAAAAAATGCATTAAGAAATGGCTTTTCTTACAGCATTTTCTTGTCAGGAATTCTGTAGAAGAAACTTTCCTTTACTTAGAAATAAAAGGACCAATATCAGAGACCTGTGCTAACCAGCAAAGATTATAGCTTTTCTCTAGCTATTAATTTTGTATGGCTAATAGGCATACTGACTGATTGATTAACACCAGTCGGGCTGAAATTGCAGAAATTCATTCCAAATCTTGTTTGTCTGCAGCTCACAAGCTCATTCACTTCCCATTGCACCACTGGTGTGTTTTTCAGTACAGATCTGAGCAACAGGTATCAGCAGGGAGATTGCCACACCTTTTCAACTGATTGTTTTTAATCCAAACATTATTGTCAGATGTACATCAATGATAGGAATGAACTAGAAAGAGCCAGATCATATATACCATGTCTACACTCCATTAACAAAATTCAGAAATGACTAGGGTGCATTTTTTGTCCTCCCTCCTCTTTAGAGAAAAAAAACCTATTTTGAATCAAATGATTTTAAAAGTCTCTGATTCTGTAGTTTGAGCTGATAGACAATGATGGTGCAACTGTTAGGCTTTCAGCTAAATCAGATGCTCTCAAATGACAAAACTGGAAGGCTTTTTTTTTTTTTTTTTTTCCCCTGTTAGTATCTCTTCTCCAAATAAAATAGGCCTTTTTGTGTTACTGCAAATTGTGTCAAGGCAGGTGATAAAAAACACATTTTACTTGTCTTGCCATTGTTGAAACTCATAAATAGGGAATAGGCTTTCTTTGCATGGTGGAAAATGCCTAGAACAGCTATTTTGGAAAACGGTGCAGCTATAGAAATACTAGTAAAACTTAAGCTATTCCAGGGCAGCTTTTCTATTCAGACCATCTGTTCTGGAATAGTCGTCTACTTGCAAATTGGAGTAATTATTCCAGAACAATATTACCTTTTCCTAGGTCCTATTTCTACAATGGTAGTTATTCTAGTAAAATTATGTCTTTATATTTACTCAATAGATTATCTTGAGTGCTACCCTCCAATTTTTAACTTCATATTAATCTGAAGCAATCTCACTGAGATCTCATTGTGCTTTCATAACCTGCTTTTAGGGACATACTTCCATCCTCATTTTCTTGACTGGTGATTTCCAACAAAAGTTTTCACTTCTCTTCCTGTGCTTTCAAAATTCTCTCTTTGCCTGGTTGTCTCAGCATTGTGACTTCCTTCTTCATCCATCATCTGTTCTGGAATCTGCTTCTTTGCCAGGGCTTGCTAAATTTCCTGAGGAATCTTTCATCCCCATTTCCTCCTCATTTAATCCAAAAGTTGTAAGAAAAATGAGGTCAAAAACTATCTTCTTCAGTTTAAATTTGCTTCTCTTTTAGAAATCTAATCCTGTATCATGAACAAGCAAACCTTTCATGTTTTCCCATCAAGTTTCCTACTTTTGTGATTTCAGCTTTCTTCCAGGATACCAGAACTCCACCTTATCTCCTCCCACCACATCCACTCTGTCACTAAACCCTGAGAATTCTGTAATAATTGCTCGTCAAACAACTATTTTTTCCACCCATCTTATCAAAACACATATTGAACTTGCCTTATTACTAGCTTTGGCTACTAAACCCTCCATCTTCTTAATCACTTCCTCTTACACCCAGAATTCTTCTGTAAGAATAACTGAATTATTATTCATATGGTTCACTGTAATTAAATTATCATGCAGTTATAATTACCATTTGTATCTGAATAGCTCTCAGACAACCAAAGCCTGGATACCAACACTTAATAAAATAATATTCTTCTATTCCAATTATGTTTTTGCTTTATACTCCAATTCTCCTTTCCACAAACTCTGCATCACATTGCAGCCTTTCTCCCACCCCCCCTTTTTTTCAGGCCTAGGCCAAGTCATTCACTTTTTCTTCATTTCTGCCT